AATTAAACAGACACAAGTACCCCACTGTGTGTATGTGGCATCTGCTCACCTGATCGCGTCGCGATAATTGGCCACTGGAACGATCGTGCGATATTCATTTACAATCGACCGAGTAGCTTCAAGTGGCTGCGACAGAGAAGTGACAGCTTCTGCGTTGTCGTCCTTGCGAAAACGCCGCTCGGTCAGCAACAAGACGGTCTCCTCCGGTCGTGCAGGCAGTGTACTCTAGTAAACAGAGGAGCTCGTGCAGCACCACAACGAGACAGATGGCGGGTAAGAAAATCAGCAGAGCAACGCGCAGGTCACATGCTGCGCCACTTTACTTCTCGCTGCGGAGCTCACGCGGCCGTATGGCTGACTTGCTGCTCGTATATCAGGCGTTGTTGACGTTGTTCTACCGCTGTTAAAAATTGGGGAATTGGTAGTATTAGGGGTACTTATAGGGGGTGTACCGGACAATGAGAGCGGATTTCATACGCAAGGCTGTGTGCTGACACAAAAGAGGCCTGTATTACAGAGGTGTGTGTACAAAGCGAAGAATGTTTATATTGTATTTCGTGTGTATAAGTGTGCATTACCTAATTAGGGAGGTTACGGTACATAAAGAGGGGCTCTATTTCAGGGGTGTGTGTGTATCAAAGGGTGGGTGTGTATCTATAAATCTCCTTTATTTCATTTATCTGGGGCATTTTTTATTTTCATCAATAAAAATTAAGGGAGTTTATCAACATTTGGCCCGGGTCCACCGTGGGACTCGAAACGTTTATCAAGTAAGGGAGATCATTATATAAAAGAGTATTAACTTAAGGAGATTTCACTGTAGTATAGCAGCAACTTATCTGCTAGCGTCAAGCGCAATTTAAGTTTGATTTCTATGTTCCTATCTGGTAGAATCCATCCGATCATACATATGGTAGGTCATGTACCTGTTGCGAAGCTACAGCATCACATGGAAATGGCTTACGCAAGAAAAGTGGAGCGTCAAAAGTATATTCGACCATGCCATCTGGGAAATGACTCCGAAGGAGACCATACTGTCAAAACACAAGCAGGTTATGGAGAAACAAGATAGCTGAGGACAGTGCTGATGGCATATGAATATTATAGCTTGTATGATGCAACACTAGCGGGTCGAACACGCAGCTTAGCGTAGCTTCCCTTACGGTTTGTCAATCTCTCCCACTCACTGTAAGGGGGCACCGATGACTACGTACTGGTCAACTAGTACGGAGTTTACTATCACTGACTGCAGTGATAGTCAGTGCCCTGTTGAGTGTAGAACTACACAGAGGAAGATAGAACGACTAAGGCAAAGATTCTAGTCGTGGTAAAAGTAAACCTGTCATTAATACGATTAGGTCCTGCAACTTTTGTGTCTCTGGTTGTCCTGACTTAATTACGCTAATATAGCTAAACGTATGATGACGTCTACTCACCACCCATTGCGCGCGTCTAGCAGCGATTGGTGGGTTGATATCATCACGATATATTAACCAATGAGTAGACCCTTCGGTCATCCCAACAATATCATCATGCTTTGTGATTTGGTTGAAAGAATATTCGACGTAGTATTCTTTATTGTCATTTTCTTTTTAGTGACAATTTCATGTAACGGGCTACCCCGTTACACTCAATCTGTTGTCAATTCCTCCCCTTACTCTCTGTTGTCGAACACGACTACTTCCGCAAACATCAGGACACGTACGACGCTATGTCAGTCTCTGTGCAGAAGCACAGTAAAGGACCACACTATAGTCCGACAGATTAATCCGAAGAGATTTGCTTGATAAGAGCATGGCAAGACAACGCAGGCCGTCGATGCGGATTTGATTTGGGGTAGCTTCTTGTCAGATCTTGTAGGACACACAGTGCGTCTGTATGCCGGGTAGAAACGTATAAAACCGAGTGGGCTTTTGCTCACCTAATCAGAGCCCATGGAACCGGTTCTGACCGGGTCAGTTCTGCCGTTACCGCATTGCCACGTGTACCCGCGGCCGTGTCTACGACGAACACATCTCTTGGCATCACCGACAGCCGTACAAGTCCCACATTTCTTTGCATTGGCCCTCGCTGCCTACGAGCTTGAGCCAGTCATAAGCCCCAGTCACGACACTTTCATTGGAAGTGACAAGCTCCAGGTTTGAGCTTCGTGTCTCTCAAGCCCTCAGCGTCGCCTACTCGTCCCTGCCTATGGAATAAAAATACCGCCCTCTCATACCCTACGACCTTTTTTGACGTCTCACAACGTATCTGTGAGCTACAGCGCCTATTGTATTGTATCGCAGACCGACAAACACATTTGTAAAAAAGGGTCAATCTTACACTGTCAACGCTTCTGTGCAAGCCAGTCAGTCATCGAACCCCATAAGCATGGCCGATAGTTAGATATGCGATGCCTTCAGTAAGCGAAAGCTACTGCTATCGCATGAGCACCGTACAGTAATCATGTGATGACACCACACTAAATGAAGGCACGTGACTGAAACCAGAATAAATGCCCGGAAAATAAACGCGAGCATGGTATCGATCTGTTACAGTTACGATTGCGTCCTTCAGACAATGGCGTTCATCCCCAATACACAGCTCTTAGAGCACTGTGTTCAGGCCCATGTCGAGTCAGCCAGTGGACTGTCCAATAAAACCGAATGCTACCACCTCAGCCACTGAATCGAGCAAAAGCGTTCGATGGGCACAACCGCAAAGTCGTGTCAAAACGAAAACGAGACATGCCACTGCTTTTTCCCGCTGGCCTTCGTTGCGCGCGTCGATCCCGGTACAAGACCGGTTTACCGTCCCACCTCCCACCACCCTCGCGCGAGTGCCCCTGCGATCCCTCCAACCGGAATAATCGAATGCCTCCTCCCCCTTTCTTCCAATACCACACTCGTCGCAAGAACCGGAAGTATCGAACACATCCCTACCACACGCGCCCAAAAAGGCCAAACCCGCCACACAAAAACCGCTCGCCGAAGAACGTCGTCGTCACACGCACTGACTGCCACAGTCTCAAGTCGACAGTCGCCTCCGATCGATCGATCGACCGCCCACACCCCATCTGCCCGTCCATTAGTCGCCCACTCGTCACGTCGCGTTGTCCGTCCCCTGTGCCACTTCAAACTGCTCGGCCACGTCCGCACGCATCCCCCGCTGTCGCGCTCTCCCTCTCGTGTCCCTCTCGTGTCCTCCTGTGCTTCGCCTCTCTCGCTCTGTTGTTGACTGCAGCTGCTGCGCTCGTGTCGTCAGCACTCACTCAGGCGAGCAAGCGGACGAGCAGACGTTAGCTGACCGACGGCGACCGACTGCGCGAGAAGCGCGAGGAGCGTCTGCACCGATTGTAGAAGTTTCGTGCACAGGAGTTTGTTGGCTTGTGACGCTGGAAGCCAATTTGCTACTGCGGAGCGAGACGCACTACGCGCGCCGCACGTCATGCAGGAAGTCTCGGCGGAACTCCAGCAGCAGCTGCAGGCGCTGGGCATTAACCCGTCCGACGACGTGTTCCGCACGGGCTCGGAAGAGTTTGACCACAATGGACTGAGCTCGCCGATCCCGCAGGAAGTGCGGTTTATGAACGCCGAGCTCCGACGCTGTCCCGTGGAAGGGGTCGGGATGGTGCTCGCCGTGTTCTCCGGGTCGGGCGCAGTGTACGAGTTCGTACGGACGCTGCGGAAGTGTATTTTTGGCAAAGTCAAACACGCAGTGCGTCTGCAGATGACGCCGAATGGCTCTTTCGTGCGCACGCAGCTCGAGGTCGCTATCAAGGTCATGAGCAAGGTGCGTTGTTGTCCGTATCCGTTCACCTTGAACAAAGAGCATGCGTTCTGACGATGTTTTGCTGTGCGTTGTTGCTACACAGGTCATCATAGAAGAGGGCAATCTGCAAGAGAACCCGCTTGTCGAGCTCGCTGCGCAACAGTATCTGTCCGTACCTGGTCATGAAAACGTGCTGACGCTGGTGAGACATTTCGCATCTGCACTTTGCGACACGTTTGGTGCTTCATGCTAGTGGACGCGTGGCCTTACACGTATGTCTTTTTTGTGTGCAGATCGAGTGCCTGCACGACGCTGACTTCATCTACGCCGTGCTCCCGTTTTGCAATGGAGGCGAATTGTTTTCAATAGTGGAGAGTGGCGGCGCCATGGAAGAAACGGAGTGTCGCCACTGGTTTACCCAAGTACTGGCAGGCCTTTCATACTTGCAAAGCCGTTACATTTGCCATCGTGACATGTCCTTAGAAAATGTGCTACTAGATGGCGATACGTCGAAGGTGAGTGCGTTTCACTTGCGCTTGAGTGGGAGTCGAGAACACAAGAAGTAACACACGACTGCTCTTGATTGTACTTTCTAGATTATCGACTTTGGCTTGAGTATCGGTATTCCCGTCGATGCCCACGGCATGACGTACTCGCTACCGCCTGCTGGCGCGGTCGGAAAGATCTTTTATATGCCCCCAGAGGTACGTTGGTGCAGCGCCACATGCGGCTGCATGTGTTTTTTCTTACAAGTCTGTTGTTTGTTGGCTCAGATATACCGCAACCAGGTCCCATTTAACGGTTTCTCGGCCGATGTCTGGTCAACGGGCGTCATGCTTTTCATCATGGTAACGGGCGCACCTCCTTTCGAGCGACCAGACGACGCAGACCCGCGCTTCCAGATGATTGCGAAGGGTAACATGAATGAAATGTTGGATTCGTGGGGAATGGATCACGTTTCCGCGGGTGTACGTGACTTGATGGCAAAAATGCTGGTCGTGGACGAGCCGTCGCGGCGCCTGACTGTAGAGCAGATTGCTGTGCATCCGTGGATTCAGGGCGGATAGGATGAGGACTAAAGCGACGTAAGCATGAAAACCGCTGTCTAAAACGAAAAAACGAGTTAGTAAGTTCAGGTATGTCATGGCCTCGCTCGCGTGCTGTTTTGTGTGGAGACGGCATAATTCGTTCTGTATTGACGTGGAGTGATGATGCACGTGCCTTGCATGACGGTATCCTCTGTAACTCACTCAACCCCAATCGGACCGGCAGTTGTACAAGGCGCCGGGCGGAGCTGGGTACATTGACGGCGGAAGAGGTTGCGTCACAACTGTTGGCTCTTGATACAGAGCTGCTGACATCGGTGTTCCTGGCGCCCATGCAGCCAAATGTTGACTGGTCGTTTGTGGCGTGTGCTCAGAGCTTCCTGATGTCGCATTGGCTACACGTCGTTCTTGGTCTGAGTGGACAGCAGCACAAGTATACGGATGAGACCCACCACCAAGAAGCGCCCAAGAGCCCAACAATGCAGTGTATCCACGTACCTGCAAAACTGTCGTACCAGAGCTTGACATTGGCCTTGTGGTTGCGTCCGCGATTGTGGCGCTGCCGCGCGTCGTGCGAGTCCTCGAACGACTTGTTGCAGTACTCGCACACGGCTCGGGACCTCCCCATCGACGCAAAACGACAGATAGATCAGCGGGTAGACATCTTTTCTTAAGTACGACGACCAGACCACGACAACCGGTCGTGACATTTCAGCTTTCTCTACCGGCTCAGCACACTGTGAGACGAGCGCTACGTAGTGTAGGCGCCTGACAGCGTGATACTCGGAAAAAAGTACGACGGCTCACTAGTCTGCACATCACATCATCACCCCACACGCCAATACAGATGTCAAGACCCCAAGCCCCTCACATCCCATCGCCGGCGTCTTCTCACCTGCTCGTCCAGCCATGTCATGCCTTCCCGGAGCAGCATATTCAGCGCCAACATACTCCGCTTCTTATCCCACTGCAGCTCTCGCGCCAAGATGCTGACGTTGATCATCCCACCCGTCGCCTGCGCCAATGCCAAGACCGTAGAGTGGTCCTGACTCAGCACCACAGGCACCGTCACAATCTGCCGCAAAACGATACAAAAAAACGCAACAAAAGTCAGCGTCTCGGCCTCTTCTTCTCTCGTCCTCAGCTACAGCCACAGCCACAGCCGCCACAGACCCACCATCGTTCTCTCTTCCATGTCAATGAGCTGGAACCCCTCGCCCAGCACACTGAGCTTCTTCACGGCTCTCTTCACGTCATCGTCCGTCACCGTCTGCATCGCCTGTCCCCTCTTCTTCTTCAAGAGCCGCAGCAAGTCGCTCATGCCCACCAGTCCGCCGTTCTTCGGCCGCGTGAGGATCCCCACCTCAATGATCTGCACCGCCAGTTCGTAGTAAAAGTCGCCCACGTCCAGCAACTCGGACCAAAAGCCTTTCTGCGACGCCAATGGATCGACGCCAATCTTAGCGCACATGACCTGGAACTTGCATCGAAAATCCGGATCTTTCTTGATATTTTTCTTGTACTTGACCGCAAACGCCTGCAAATTCGTCCGGAAGAGCTCGAGCTGCGCTGACACGTGCGACAAGTTGGACTCGACGAGCTGCTCGCCCACGTCCGAGAACTGCTTGGCCTGTTCCTGTTTCTTGCGCACGGCGCCAATGCCGACACCGCGTCGCCGCATGTGCGATGTTTTTTTCACGGACGATATTATCGCGAGTTTGACTCAGATCTGAGGCCAGCGGGTCGGTCAGGAGCAGCTGGTGGCTTGCGGTTCGGGTGGGGGTCTTGGTTTTGACGAATCGTCGCCTGGTTCGTGGCCCATGATCGCTGTCTTTCGGACCAATCAGCGTGCTGCACCCCCTGCGATTTTCTTTTCCGACGCGCTGTAGTTCATTTCGCGGTTTGCGGTCGTCTCAGAACAAACGAACGATTAATCAATCGACTGACCGATTGTCTGACTGATCGACTGATCGAACGTCTTTGCAACATCTCCGACTGTAGAGCGCCTCTACGTTCCGACCTTTTAGCTGCCGATGTTTGTCTTTGACTGGTTTTACGACGTGCTGGGCTACTTGGGTGCGTAGTCGCTACTGCTTTGGTAGACAGACTGTTGATTGGACGCAGACCCGAATGGATCTTTCTGGATAATCGCTGTCGATGTACATTGTTCATGGCGTGTTGTAAAATGGGTACAACCAACGCTGAAATAATTGATATTCCTGGTTGACCGATTTCCATTGACTTTGGAACAGGGCTGTACCACAAAAACGCCAAGATCCTGTTCCTAGGCCTGGACAATGCGGGCAAGACCACTCTTCTGCACATGCTCAAGGACGATCGCGTTGCCGTGCATGAGCCGACACTGCACCCCAGTACGTTAGTCTGCGTAGTCCATTCGCTGCCATCGCGTGACTCTAACTGTTACGGTACTCTATCTATCCCCACCAGATTCCGAAGAACTGATCATTGGCAAGCTGCGTCTGCGGACGTTCGACTTGGGCGGTCACGAGACGGCGCGTCGCCTATGGCGGGATTACTTTGCCACAGTGGACGGTGTCGTGTTCGTGGTGGACGCGCTCGATCGCGAGCGCTTTCCCGAGTCCAAGCGAGAGCTGGACACGCTATTGGGCTACGACGAGCTGGCCAACGTGCCGTTCCTTGTGCTGGGCAATAAGATTGACGTGCCTCGCGCGGCATCGGAGGACGAGCTGCGCAGTGCGCTGGGCCTAAACGAGACGTATGGCAAGGAGGCGCGCGCGGCGGATGCGAGCATTCGCCCCATTGAGCTGTACATGTGCTCGGTGGTGCGTCGGATGGGCTATGCTGACGGCTTCCGCTGGATGGCACAGTTCTTGTAGATCACGCGATTGGCCATGGTGGGTGGGTGTGCGTGGGTGAGAGAGAGAGGGGGTGGGTAGTGGTGGATGGCATGAAGCGCCAACAAGTGCGATGGGGCGTAGTCGCAGAGGAGCAACGAACGGAGCATCAGGACTGGACAGCCATGGATGAGCGAGCCCCTGTCACTGCGACGGCTTCCGAGTGTGAGTGAAGCCTCCATCGCATGAGTGTGGACGCTGGTTTTACACAACAACAACAACGATAGTGTTTACGTTTCTATTGCCTTGACGTAATTATCGCTCTTCGTTTCCGTTGTTTTCGTCGTCATTCGCTTTTATTGATATTCTCTTGTGCTATTAAGTATTTTGTTGTTTTTACATTGACCTTGCTCGTTTTCGCTAGGTTTTTTGTCATCGATCTTACTCGTTTTCGCTGTTTTTACGCTACTACTGCTCAAACACTTTTGCTGTTATGACGCGGTCGGGTCATTCCGTCGGTAGAATGTGTCCACCACACCACTGCCATCCGCCTCACCAGCTCACATGTCCATCAGCCGCACGGAGATGAGCAGCTCCGTCAACGAACTGCCGCAAGCCGTCACAGCTGTCGGGACGCTCGGCGACGTGGGCGCGGCCTACGCCGTCTACGAGAAGAACTGGCGATGTGCCGACTGCAGCCACGAGAACTACGCGCGCAGCCGGCGCTGCTTCCGCTGCCGCGCGCCCAAAGTCCATCGCCCAGACGCGCTGGTCGTCGACAGTGTGGGCGACCGCCACACGTGGCGCGAGGCGCTCGACCCGACGTCGAACAAGATTTACTACTACAACATGGATACGAATGTGACGCAGTGGGAGCGTCCAGCAGAAATGGGCGCTGCACCGCACGCCACGGGCTGGTTCGGTCGTGGCAAAGCCGGCGCGACCGAAGGCGATCGGTACGAGGCACTGAACGCTACGTTTCTGTCCCGACCGGCCCGGAAACAACTGGACGTGATGCCCACGGCCAACTCGCAGCTCGAAGGCGCGTACGAGTACAATATCTGGTACGACAAGTACATTGGGGACCACTGGAACGACGCTCGGGGCAAGGAGCCCGCCGCCACGCGCTGTGTCTTGGCCCTGGACGCTGGCAAGACCAAGGCCGATGTCGTGAGCAAAGCCAACCGGTACTTTTGTGTGCACTTTGCACGGGGTATGTGTGCGCGGGGCGCCGAGTGCACCTACTACCACCGACTGCCGTCGGCCGCCGATGAGACGCGGATCGGCATGATGCACGACTGTTTTGGCCGCGAGCGTCATGCAACGGATCGAGACGATATGGCTGGGGTCGGCAACTTTATGCGGAACTCACGGACGCTCTATGTCGGTGGACTCAAGTCGTGTAGCGGACGAGAAGCACTAACGGCACAGAAAGAAGCGCTGACCAAGCAGTTTGGCGAGTGGGGTGAAGTGGAGAACATCAACGTGATACACCGGAAATCTATCTGCTTTGTGCGTTACCGCCACCGAACGAGTGCAGAGTTTGCGAAGGAAGCAATGGCGAACCAATCGCTGCAGAGTGATGAAGTGCTGAATCTGCGCTGGGCTTTTGACGATCCGAATCCCGTCGCCAAACAAGCTGGAGAGCGTGCAGATCGAGATGCGATTGTTGCTGTGATGCAGTCCAAAGGCGCAAGTACGACGGGCGATGCAGCGTTTGATTACCCGGAACAGTATCAGCTACCTGCGCCTAAGCGTCAGCGGCTCGAAGGCGATACGATTGCGTCGTATCCCAACACCGACACGCAGTTCGCTGCTGATCAGAATAAGATTGCAAGCAGTGCTACAACTTGTGCCGCTGCCCTTGAAGAAGAATTGTACGCACAGTTGAGCTACGCCGACCCAAGTGGCAAGGTCCCGACGGACGAGCCTGAAAAAGGCTCGAACGAACAGGAGTAGAGGTTGCAGGAGCTTATGTGTTGCAAGTCTATAACGCATGCCAGATCGTGGATAAGAGAACGACACATGGGCGTTGAAGACGACGATCACAGCTGCTGCTAACCCAAACTGCCTCAATACAAATTGTGGCATTTCGTTGCCTGGATCCACGCCGCTACACAGCATGTAGCAGCCGCGCAGTGCTTGATACAACGTCTACTAGTCACAACAAAGGTTAAAGTTAGATGCAAAGCAATGCCACAAAGCTGCTGCTGGACCGAAGCGTGCGCTAAGCAGCAATGAAGGTCGTCGTTCAGGCGTCTTGTCAATCAAGTACGCGCATCGTCGTCTCCCGAAGGTCAACGGCCGAAGACACCTTTCATGGTGCTCAGGCTTGACCTTCTTGTACCACATCTCGCTTTGGGTGTTACCTTTGTCATTGCCGTCCGTAGTATGTGCTATGCGTAATTGGGACAGGATGCCTACCCCGACGGAGCTCAGCCGCTTCATTCGAATGGGAAACACCCACTTAGACGATACCTGTCGTGTACGGCTGACAAACCGTTTGACGCGTACGACCCATTCGGATCAACTGCAACGTTTTCCATTGCTTCGAAACGAAAACGAATGGGTCACCACTCGATCCGTGTGTTACCACGTGGGCATCGCTTGTTCCTGGTGTATACGTCAAATAGCCAGGACAACTTGGTCTCTGCGATAGCGTATGGATCTGGAGTGAACCACTTGCTCAGCCTGACAACGGGGCCTGAGCGCATCACGAGCTCACTGCAACTAGCTGATCTGTTTCTAGTAACATGTCCTTGCAAAAGCTGGTAGTAAATGGCATGACGCACAAGGTTCAAAGCGTCGAACGATCTGTCCTCAACAGACTGATGAACAATGTTGTCACGGTGAGAGGCTATCTTGCAAGTTTGGTACCATCGCGTATGCAGCCTCTGTTATCGAGATGTCTCGTGCAAACCTTACATGGTCGGCTTGTGGGTTGGCCGACCTATTCGACTGGTGGTCAGTACCTATCAGCTCCCGCTGGTCTGAGGTACAGAAAGCAGTGCACTTGGTCAATGCCTGCAAAGTCGAGCTGCTTGATGAGGCCATAGTCAGGAATCGCTGTGAGCCGATGCTCCATCTACTGTGTCGATGATTGAGCTGGTGAACAGCGAGAGAAAAGCTGCATCGGATCCTGACATGCAATGGTACACATCGAAGTATACGTCCAGCGCCAAAACGTATTGCACACTCGATTATCCTGGGCACCCATAGAGCGAGGGCCTAGCGGAAGACCGACGGAAAAGTGGCGCTGTGCCACTTCATATATGGTGTAGCATTCTCAGCGGCATATTGCGTCGATCCGCTTTCGCTTGAGACGATACTGCGACCCGCACGCAAATCTTATGCTGCGTGACACTGGCTCAATTTGACCTGCGCGACCAACTGCTCGACAACTGAAAGCGGCTATTACCGCTGCATCTTTCATAGTGAGCGAGCAAACTTGTCGATGAGCATAGGTCCCTGTCGACACACGCAAGAATGAGTTACTGGTATCAAGCACATGCGCAGCTTCCTTATTCTCGATGCCTCTGTGTTGTCCGTATGGAAGAGGATGTCCATGCGCCGCAGTACGAGGTACAAAGCAGTTTCTCACGGATCTCGAAGCTTTTGTGAAATAGCATACGGTACACGACTAACGCGAGCATCTCCTAATGTCCAGCACTAGATGAGATGCTGGCAATACATGCGTTCCAGATTTAGTGGTCGTGGACTCAGGTGCAAGGCCAATCGACCATGAGCCAAAACGCAAAGCTCAACGTCGAGTTGCAATCGTTTGAACGAGGCTCTCTTGTCAAAGGGCAGAGCAGTCACGTAACATTTATCACACAGGTGACGCCGCTCCGACTGAAATGTGCGAGAAACAACGCGAGGTCACTATTGTTTGCTTGGTAATGGAATGGGTCGAATATATGCTACTCGGTGGTCGACATCAAGACCGGCTGAATTGATCGAAGTTTGTCAGGTAAGCATCATGTACATTGTGCGTACGATGCGAGGAAGAAAGTCGGTTATGGCTGATGCAGTTCGCAGGATTTGAACTCTATCAGGCAATTCACGGCGTTAGTGTTCGGTTTTTGACGCTCGTTTGCTACCTTACAGCGTTCAAGGTCGCTTTGGTAAGAAGCTCGGGTTCTAAAACGATAACAGGACGTGTGTTGCCTGAGTCGATGGCAATGCCGCCGCAGTCAGCATAGAGAAGCTTGCTCGATCTTTGGTTTACATCAGCGGCAAGAATCGCATCGATTAATGCAACAACACGCGATTGCCAGCGCACTGCATTTATTTGCTTGGCCGGTAGTGGCCAAAGAAGCTATTGCTAGCGCAGGGTCCTCACAAGAACCCGCAACCGCCTGTGTAAACACACGATAGACCTCTCATAATAGCTGCACTAAGTTTGGGATACAAGAAGCACTTACGACTGAATGAGGTCAATGGAATCCTCAATGCAGATCTGTATGCGCGTGTATCGTCGCCCTTCATGTCAGCACACTCATTGGGCTCCAGTTGACCCAAAGTACCGTGTCGTCCTCGCTTTCCATCATTGCCTGTTATGGACAGTGACAAGTGAATACTTGTTATACTTTGACTTCTCTACTCCACCAATACCTATGCTTCGCATCACGAGCTACGAAGACAACTAAGACGACAAACCGCTAGTATAGAGCGACTTGTCCTTGGTCGATCATTTATTGCAACCACACGACAAAAACGAATTGCAGGGCTCATCAAAACCACATGGCAGCTTCGTCCATCGTACCGCATGTACGTCATACACCCGGTGTTTGATAAACTGTGACGCATTAAGCTAATCTAATGAGATCCACATCATTGTGCCGAACAATAAGGACAGGAAGCTTGCTTTCACTTTGCAATCGATTTGCAGCCCAAAAGTGACAGCTCATATGGTTCAAGCCACATTCGATGTCGTCAAAGACTGCGTCAAAGACTACGTGAAACGCGGCGTTCACTCTTTCAGTTCTTGATTCGCTAGGAGCTGGGGACGAGCCCGCGCAAATTTACAGTAGGGCGCCAAACTCGTGAGCTTCTTGGTTACGCACATAAGAACAGCTCTAATGGCCGACATACAATGCCTCTGCTTTTGCAAACGACACGGCCGGACACAAGTCGCTCGAGCTTGTGACTGGCAGTGACTTTCGCTTGCTTACGTTGTCGATCTCCTCTTCGCAATCGGTCATTGCCCTGTCGTACCCGATAAGCTCGACAATGCTCGATAGTTTTTTTGTAAAATGGTATTCCGGAAGGTAATAAATAGTTTACCAAAGAACCTTAAGTGCGCACACTCTGTACATGTTTCTGGTCTACTGGTCTTGTAGTTTGTCACGTCATAGCTCTCAAAATCTGTTGTTAAAAGCGTAGGTCCGAGATACTAGCAGTCTTTTGGTGACTACTTTCCTTCTAGATATTGTATTTGAATGCGTTTTGAGGCACTTCCCTTGACGTGGTAGTCTTGTCACGCACCGAGTGCTGACATTCAAGTTGCATAACTTTGCACATAATTCTACTATCATGTCTCGAAGAGCGATGCATTGAGCGTGATATAAGTTTTGAGGCGGGGAGAAAGTTATCGACTGTCAATTCCTTACTTTGGCGTTGGTACTGAAGGTCATACAATGTACTACACATAATCATACAATACAGCAAACGAAAAGCGCAACTCAATGTAGTGTGTGCGTCGGTATATATTTGGAACATGATTGAGCCGATCGGCACTTAGTTATGGTCCGGTATGTCGCACCTTTTCTCCTGCATATGTCTGGCGTTGATCCAAACAACCTCATGGAAGGGTGGTGAATACATCCGAATTGATTTCCACCTCGCGCTTTCGCGACACATTGCCGTTGCGTTCATTTTTGTCTGGGTGTCTTCGCGCTGTCACTTGAAAACTCCTTGGGTACGGGTGCCCTTCGCCACTCTGAATATCCTGTTCCTTTCAGTCCTGATGACCGCAACGATCCTCTCGATGTTACACTTACGCGCGACTTTTGCCTGTTGATTTTCTTTTATCATGCCACTCCGGAAGTGATGTTAGAACGGAGCAGTCATAATCAGACCGCCGACGCAACAACAGGCGTACAGCAGAACCCATCTTAGCTAATCCAATTGGGCGGATGAACATATGTATATTATATAGGAAGGAATAGTAGGTTGGAGGGGTGGAGGCAGTCACGTGATCTACCTCTCTTATCCAACGTCGGGCCGATACATATTATTCAGTACAAGGAGCTATCAGCTAATAGAAGAGTAGCTTAGAGGGGTTCGTTCTACTAAATCCAAAACAATTTTCCAGCTTCTTTGAACTTTTTCGGTAAACAGTTCGACTCCATAGCAAATTTCGTTTCTTTGGCCCCATAACTTCAAGAAAAGTGCATTTCTTCCACTAACATTACAGGTAGTATTTGTATGTGAGGAGACGCCCAAAGAAGCGTTCATCGGCTTCGTTTCCTGTCGTTGACTCTCGACATGTCCGACGACCAAAGCGAGAACGACTGAAACATCCGATCGAATGAATAACGTTTGATTCCGCAAGCCGAAATTACCCAGTCGTCCACAAAGTGAACATCTGAAACAGAATAAGCCATGAGCTCATAAGATATTAATTGACACTATGAAACAAAAATAAGCTCTCCTTGATGACACTTGAAGCATGATTTTCGGCGCCGCATTTATGATGAGCAGGTGGCCTTAACAACGTCGGCTCGTTGGCGGCTCTCGTTATGATAGTGCTACTGTAACGAAATCAATTTCGGACCAATTCGTCAATGATTTGCCTCCGACGATGCTTCAGCAAATTTGTTGGGCCTCGATCGCACTAGTTTCGAAATGTTTGGCCGAATCCATCGTAGCTTACCTATTATGTTAAAAAGGTAACATTTTACAAAACGTACCGAGTGAGATTGCCAGAATGCCAACACTGTATGTAGCACATAGTA